AAGTTCGGGTGTCTGTATTCAAGCACAACATTCACATTAACTTAGATTTCAAATCATGTCGACAGTATCGGGTGACAATATGCAGCTCTAAAGCCACAATTTTCTCATAAGCTTTAATTTTCTAAAGTTCAAGAAAACCTTTACATGTCCTTGGAGAAATACTGCAACACATCAGCATGATGGCACGGTAAAACTATCATCTTTCTTAAAGTGGGAATGGAGAGGGAGAGAGAGAGGAGAGAGAGAGAGGGAGGGAGGGAGGGAGGGAGAGAGAGAGGAGAGAGAGAGATTTAAAGGTTGGAGGAGAAGCTAGCAAAATTTTACTTGTATCTTACGAAACTCTTCTGCTGAGTTGAGCACTGAGTTGAGCACTGGCCATGGGAAGGTGGTCAGAAGCCTCCCTTGTGCTGAGATTAAAGGTATGTACCACCATGCCCAGGTCTTTGATGCATTTTTACTCATTGGTACTTAGAACTTTGTACTTTGACTCCATATAATCAAGAATTTTAAGCTGGTCACCCAAAGTTCCTTTATTTGCAAAGTGCCAAAAACATATTAGCTTTAACTTGCCTAAATTTCTTTTGGTCAATTATTTCCCTTCCATTAGAAGACTAACAAGTTCATAAAATAGATTAATATAACCCAGGCACATTCCATTTTATCTGGAAAACCATAACTCAGTGCAAGCAGATTAGTTTGAAAAACATTTCTGTTTTAACTTTTACTCCAGTTTCTTATGGTGCTAACAGGGATCAAATATCAAATACTTTAGGTCAGAGATTAATAATAGAGATTCTTCTGTTGAAAATGAGGCCTTTCTGTGCGTCCCTTCTCTGGAGACCAATGACTATGTTAGTAATTAGTCTTGTTTAAGTGCATATTCCCCTTAGTAAAATCAGATATGAAAACACTGTTGTGTATGTTATTCCTATACCTAAATCATGAAATCTTTATTTTCTAGCTTTTGCAAAAAACAAATTGCTGGAATAAGTATAAACTGTATAAAATGCTGAAACTCTTTCTATTAAGGGAGAAAAGAAACCTCAGGTTCTGAGTTTTGGCCACTGTTCTTAAGAGGCTCCTTAAAATGCAATGTCTAAAACCAAACTATTCCACATACCTCTCACATAATGCTCCTATGATGTCTTCATTTTTTTTTTTTCTAAGGAAGGGAGAGTTACAGGCAGTATGGATGGATAGTAGGGGAAATGGTTAGAAAAGGAAAGTATAAATGAAATTTGCCAGATTGAGTTCACAATCTCAATCTGTGATCTGAGAACAGAAAGCTTCTTGTGCATAGCTTGTTCCGGGCAAAGAAAGGGCTGTGAGGTGACGGAGTTTGCTCCTGTTGCCTCTTACCTGGCTTGTCCACTCCATTCTTGTTTGGGATCTGCTCCTCACCACGGCGCTCAGAGATGGTTACATTTCCCTTCCCTTCTGTTTGCAACTCATCAGTCTTCTTTTTAAGGATGTTTTCTCTGTCGAGTCACAATGTGTGCTTTTGAATTTTAATCTGATAAACAATCTATGCTAAACATTTCTTGATTTGATTGCAGATTAAAACTAAAGGAAATAGCCAACCAACCAGCATCTACTAAATGAAAATAAAAGTATACAGAAAGGGGGGATATACTGGGAAGAATTGATGTGGGGCCAGCTCCCCTACCATCCGATTCTAGATTTGTGATTTCAAGTAAGGGATTGGGGGGTTGGAGAGAGGACTCAACAGTGAAGAGCACGTGTTGCTCCTGTAGAGGACCTGGGTTCAACTCCCGGCACTGACGTCAGGCAGCTCAGCTCACAAGTGCCTGCAACTCCCAGCTCCAGGTGATCCAATGCCCTCTTCCGACCTCCTCTGCAGGCACTTGTATGTGCGTAATACACATACATACACTCCAGTGGTAGTTTTGAATGAGAATGTTCCCCCATAGGCTCCAAGTATTTGGACATTTTGTCTCCAGTTGGTGTCGCTGTTTTGGGCGGTCTTAGAAGGTGTGGTCATGCTGGAGGAAGCACGTCACTGGGGGCGGGCTTAGAGAGTTCTTAAACGTTGCTGGATCTGGAGTCGCTTTCCTTTCCTGTATCTGCTTGAAGATGTAGACCTTAGCTTCCGCTCCTCCTCCAAACACCACAACTGCCATGCCTCCCCACCATGATGGACTCTTGCCCTTTGGAACCATAAGCTCAAATAAACTCTTCCTTCTATAAGTTTCTTTGGTCAGTGTTTCTATCACAGCAACAGAAAAGTAATATAAATACATATTAAAAAGACAAGGCAGGGAGAGCCTGGGCTTGGTAGCTCAGAATTGGGAAACAAGTAAACCGGGAAAGTAATTGTTTGCATTTTTCAATTGAACACTTAAATATGCTTTCTCATCAGTGTTTTATTATTTAATGTCAAATAGTAGTAAACAGGTTAGTGAGTAACAGTATTAGGGATAAAGCAGACCCAAGTTCAGTTCAAATTCTAACTTTGACACTGGGACATCTGACCCAGTTACTTATCTCTGTGTGTCTTGGTTCCCTTGAACACTAAACGTTATCATCAAGAGATTGCTGAGAACCATGGCAAGCATTTCATGAAAAAAGACTAGTGAAAAATATAAGACCTGACAGGTTGCATTGGAAATTAAATCATATGTGTCTTAGAAACAAACCATAACTTGACATATAATACCTGAGGAAAATAAGGGGAAATATTACCTGAGTAAGGACATTTCCTGGTTAAAATACTAAGACATTTTGATGGATAGAGCAAAATGTTTAGTGCACAAACATATATCATTCCTTAGAATACTTTGAAATCTTAATGAAATTGCCTGACTGGAAATCATCAAGATAAAAGGAACATGTAGGAAATACACCACATCAAAACCAAGTGGGGCTGGAGAGAGAGGGCTCAGTGGTTAGGGGAGGCAAGTTCAGGTTCCAGTACTCACGTTGGGTGGCTCACAGCCACCTGTAACTCCAGCTCCTGAGGATTCAATGTATCTGGGCTCTAGCAGCACAGGTACCCATGTGCACATACCCCACCCCCAGACCTACACATATACACACAATTAAAAATAAATAAATCTTAAAAGAAAAACCAAGTGTTTTCACCCATTATATGGATTATAATATAACCAGATGTCATTTCAGAAAACTAAGAAATAATCTATCCCAGGATGAAAAAAACAAAATCTTGAGCTTCATAGATGAATAATAGTTCTGCTCCCTTACCCAAATGTCTGTCTGTCTGCCTGCCTGCCTGTCTATCTTTCTGACTGTATGATGTATCTAAGTGTTTATACCTTTTACTACTAGTAAAATACATACAAGAGAATATCAATAAAATCTCAAAGCATTTAAATTTAGGACGTCTTTTCCTACACTCACCTTGATACTAATCTCAATTTTTCTTTGAAATTTAATGGTATAATACATATTGTAAGATAAGATTTGAGCTAACCTCATTGATTACAAAGTGTTTATCTATAGTGTGAACACCAGAGTGAGTTGAACAGACTACATGTTGGGGTCATCTGAAGGACAGCAACAGAGATGCATGCAAACCGATGTACTGTCGATCTCTACTAGCACTTTACGGTTCTGAAATACTTTCTAATTCTGGTCCAAATATTTTGTTTAATTTCATATACAAATACAGTAATATATTTTACTATCTTATGGCAGATAAAAATGTCAAATCATTTAAGAACACGAGCAACAAAAGTTATCAGACTTTGGTTTATTGTAAAATTTAGCAAAATTTTTCTGATAATCCCTGACCCCTTGCTCTGAAAACAAAAGCAAAAACAATTATTGCTTCTTCTTTCCCCCTCTTTTGTCTGTGCTACTGTAAGAGAAGGGGCAAAGTTTATCATAATAAATAAAAATAGAGATGTAACAGAGAAAAATAAATCAGTCTAGATGAGAAGCATTAGGAGCCACAGAAGCATCATTAAGCAGTTTAAAAATAAGCTTCTTTAAAAAGATTGCCTTATTAAAGTAAATCACACCAAAAATATAGCGGCAGAGAAGAAGGATGCATACAAGTTAATTGCACACCAGTCCCATGCAAAAAACCAGGTCATTATCCAAAGCAGTAGTACTCAGAATCCAATTTGGGGTGTTTGTGCAGTGCCTGCGAGTCATCTATAATGGAGCTGTCACTGAACTGGTCCAAGTCTGAAGGGGTCTGATGGCCCGGTACATCATCTGCCAAAGTATCCAGGTAGCTCCCCACAGAGATGCCGTCCAGCCCATCACTGTCGTCGTGGAGGCTGTTGTAGCTGCCATGTAAAGAGGTACTCTGACTCTCCAGTAAACTGCACAGGCTGCCACTGACACTGCTGCCTCGGCTGGTGATGGTGGCCTTCTCCTCGATCATCCACTTGATGGACTCGATGCTCTCATTAATAAGGAGCAATTGGCGCATGAGCCTTACGTCAGTGGCTCTGAGGTTAACCTATGGAAGAGGGGGAGAAAGGAAAAGACATGCCAGTTATTCTGTATTCTAGGAAAACTCCCCCAATTCATTTTTATCCCATTACTGCAGTCCAAAATTTTAAGTTCACAGAATAAAAAAAAATGTTCTTGATTTCACAGTCTCTTTGGAAATTGCTGAATCTTGGTAGGAGTCAGAATCAGGAATTCCTTTCCTGTCAGATGCACCAGGGTCCTAAAGGGTCAAGAAAATTCCCACTGTGTTTCTGATCTTAACCAAGCTCCTTGAATACATCCATCAAATGGAAAATTGTTAAGAAATGCATTCTCTTTCTGGCTCAACTAATAGTTCATCTATGTTTATACAGAACTATGTGTGGGGATTAGGGAAGGTGAAGAAGCAAGGGGACTCTCCAGTTTCACAGAATCCTCTATTTACTAAGTGATAATGTGTATGAGAGCTCAACATTCTTTAGAAAAATTCAAGCCAGGTATGGTGGCACATACCTTTAATCCAACACTTGGGAGGCAGAAGCAGGTGGATCTATCTCTATGAGTTTGAGGCCAGCCTGGTCTAGGTGGCTGACTTCAGGCTATATGGTGAGACTTGGGAGGCAGAAGCAGGTGGATCTCTATGAGTTTGAGGCCAGCCTGGTCTAGGTGGCTGACTTCAGGCTACATGGTGAGACTCTATCTAAGAAAGAGAGAGAAACCTAGTGACCCTGTACTGTAGGCATTATTACTTTATTTTTCTTTTAAAAAAAGAACTCAAATCTACAGAAAACAGGAGCACAGAGATGCCTGCAGTCCTTAGGCCTACATGGACATCTTGGATACTAAGTAATGCTTTGGCTTCTAACAAGGACCCTGCTGACCACGCTGCTTCATGTTCCTTAAAGCAGACAGTAGGCTGATACATTAGGATGGTCTGATTTCCAAGAACTACATAAATATTTCTGTATGTCTGATTATTTGTTTCAGATGTCAGGGGCATCCTGATCAAAACTGTGAAGGTTTCAGAACTACTCTAAATGCCATCTAGTTGCATGGTCCTTCTCTTTCTCTAAGTTACTTCAGATAACTGTGTCTCCACAGTCATGGAATCTTTGTCCCAGATTTTGACAAGCTAACATGAAGAGTGCAGTGGCCTAGGGAAGCAGGTCAACAAACAAACTCTTGTGATGAGGTGGCTCTGGTTAAGACCCCAGTGGTTGGACTCGGAGGCAGGGACATGTTGGGCCACCGGAGGGCCTGCTCATTCATTATGGTTTGAAATGGATTCCCATTCCTCCACTTGGGATAGTAAACCAAAAGTTTGGCAAAGTCAGTTCTCTCTTTAAAACCAGGACTACCAGCCTGGTATACGTAGTGAGCTCCAGGATAGCTGGAGTTAGTTACAGGGAGACCCTGTTCAAAAAAAGTACTTAGGACTAATTTTGATATGTACATTTCTAGAATTATCAAAGGCACTCATTCCTGAATGACTCAAGCTATAAAGGAAAAGGAATGTACTATAGTCAGAAGTATGCATTCAAAAAGTATTTCCTGGTAAGGAGTTAATTCATAACTGAAGGCGAACTTTGGATTAAGTGAAGGTGATGAACAAACACGGGGAGAGATGAAATTTCCATCAAAGAGCAGGCTGGGAATACTGCTTGGTGATAGAGTGCTGGCCTAATATGTGCTCTGGGTTTAGTCCAAAGGGGGGGGGGGGGGGGGGAGAAAGAGAGGGGAGAGAGAGAAGAAAGGAAAAGGAGGAGGAGGGAGAGAAGGAGAGAGAGCAAGCAAGGAGGAGGAGGAGGGAGGGTGGGGAATTCACTGGCATAGTAATATAGTTTCTTCATTGTCTTAAAGAAAAGCATAAAGGATAAATTACATAGTCACAGTTAAAATTACCTCTCTCTGCCAGGTGTCGTGGTACACACCTTTAATCCTAGCACTGGGGAGGTAGAAGCAGGTAGATCTCTGTGAGATTGGTGCCAGCCTGGTCTACATAGGGAGTTCCAGGCTACGGAAGAGAGAAAAAAAATCGCTTCTCTGCTTTTAGTCCCAGCACTTGGGAGGCAGAGGCGGGTGGATCTCTGCAAGATCGAGACCAGCCCAGTCTATATGTTGAGTTCAAGGCCAGCTTGGGCTACAAGGAGACCCCATCTCAAAAAGAACAACAACAACAAAAAAATGTTGCTTCTCTCTGAGGTGTTCACAAACAGAAGGATATGAACTCAGTCAGTCTATCTACTCATTATGGTGTTTCACAAGTCTGCAGTGACTGCGGTGGGGAAGGCTTTCTGAAAGTCAGCGTTCATATTTCCCTACATACCTCATAAGCCATCAAGACACTGTTCAAATAAAAATATTTACAAATCACCAACAATGTACCTGTAGGGCCACTGAGGAATACAGAAAATCAGTGTGAAGTGGAATCTTACAAAATCCTTTGGTGGAACTCTAGAGGTGATGAAACTCCGTGCCCATTACAGTCATTGGGCAATATCAATGCAACTATTTCTCAATAGCTCACCAAACAACAGATGCCTGTTCTCATGTCTGCCTCCCTGTCCCATGAAAACACTCCAGCTGGATCCAGCTTGGAGCATACACCACTTCTTGACCTCCCACTTCACCCTCCTATCCAAAGCTTCCCCATTCTTCCAAGTCTGTTGTCCTGAGCTTCCGAATTCTAATCTCTTCTGTTGACCCACAAAACTTCTGTAGTACTTTACGTTTGCATCTTACAATGTCACCAAACTTTATATGAAGGAGCACTGCGTCCGATGATTGTATGTCAGCCTTCTCAACTAAGGAATAAGTTCCTTAAAGAAGCCCTGTCTCACATGTCTTCTACATCTGAAGGTCTTTTATAAGTATTAAAAAAAAAAGTGGGATGTTCTGTATGATATACACACAGAAAAATCAACAGATTTAAAAAAAAGACATATTTGAGGAGGAAACATAAAAATTTACTTCATGTTAAATAGAGGTGTTAAACATTACCAGTGAAATCTACTTGATGAGTATATCCATACTCAGGTACTAAGGATCCGAGTGTAACTGACTGTGACTAGTAATAATCAGGTACATAGAGATTAAAGACACATGTGCAAACATCTAAGTGTTAGTAGCTTTAAAAATATAGGAAACAGCAAAAAAACTACCTTAGAGTCCTATTTTGAGGATCTATGAAAGATCAGCTATTAAGTGTGTATTCACTTTACATTTCCAGCAACTATACCATGCATGTACTAAAAATAAATGTTCTGTCAGCAATGTTGGTCTTACATAATACAAATTTTTCAATTTTATTGACCAATAAGAATAAAAGGGGAGTAGACTATGAAGAAACAAAATCATCCTTTGACCAACAAATGATTTATTTAAAGAAGAACATTTTTTGCTTCTGAAGGTAAAACGTTCACAGGCTACTGAATCATTGTTCGGCGGGTAACAAGGAAAGTAAAGCGACTAAGCCTGCTGATCTGGTTGACATGATTACAGCGTGAGGTGTCTGTGACCCTGCGTCCTTCAAAAGAGTAAAGAACATCCCCGTGAGGCAGCTGAGTGCACTGGTTTACATGGCTGGCAGCTGGTCTGTCCCAGAAGCTCTCGCCTGTTATACAGGGCTTTCTCCAAGACTAAGGTGTGGTTATGGGACTGATGAGCTTTGAAATATGAGCAGTCCACCAAAACTAAATCACAATGTTGTTTCTGTCTCCAGTGGCTGCCCCACCTTTCCACACTGTGATTCATTTCAGTCTTTGTGATGTCTGGCCACCAACAGACAGAGTAGTTTTGCCATGGTGGCAGAAACCCGTGATTCTTTCAGCTGGGGTCTTCTGAGGTCCTGTGAGTTTACTCTGAAGATACTGAGAGTTGGGACCCTCCTCTGTCTGAGCACCAGTGTCACCTCCTTGGAGATCCCATTCCTGGTGTGCCAGTCCTCAGGCCCAGTTATGAACTGAGCTTCATGCTTATTGGTTCCTGCATAATATTTATGACTTGTTAGAATCCACTTGCTTATTATGGTTTCATTTGTTCATGAAGGAATTTCTGAGTGCTGGAAACTGTGTGGTCACCACTGTGTGCTAAGATCTATTGATTGCCTGGCACATAGTACCTAGTTGATCAAGATCTGTGGAATGATGATTACTAGCTCCACTCCAGATCGGACCTTCTGTCAGGTACCTGGGGCTTTGCTGTGGACCAGTGGTGTACATGACTTGAGAGGAAGGCAAGCAGTAATCGGAAAGAGACCGTCCAGGTTTGAAGCATTCCCAAGCACATTATCCTATTTCTGCTCAGTCACAGGATTTAGACACTGAGTAACTGGTGTAGATTCTTCCTAGTTTAAATTTACAGAGTGTAAGATAGCGTCTCTAAAGGGAAGCGGACTTCAAGTTGTGAGTCATAGTCCACACAGTGTCTGTTTGCTCAGGGGTGATAACTGGTTCTAGCACAGTACAGGTGTTCTGTAAACACCTGACAAATGAACTGGATAAAGAGAACAAACAAACGATGTGGCCCCTTTCCCCGGTACACGTGTTTGTACTGACTGATTCAAAGTGACATCAGTGTCCTCTTCTCTCCATCCTCACAGCCCTTCCCTCCTATTCTGTCTTGGCAGTTTCTGCATTCTGATTTGTCTTCACGCTGAATCTCCCCTGCTTCAAGGTTGTGCCAAACAGGTCTTTGACTCCAGGGAAAAATGCTGAAATTACATGTCATTTTCTGATAGATGATGGACTCAGTTTATATAGAAATCTGAAATGAAGGATCTTGAAAGAGAACCTATTCCCAATAAATTTTCCCAGATTCGTTTTCATCTAAAAGGTCTTTTTTAAAGAAATATTTTAAAAATTACATTTATTTGTTATTTGCATGTGTGAATGTATGTGCATGAGTGTGCACACATTGTAGCAAATGTGTAAAGGTCAGAGGATAACTTGAGAGTCAGTTTTCTTCCATCACCTGGGGATGAGAGGTTAAACAGGTTTTCAGGCTTTGCAGAAGGCATATTCCCTCACT